TACGTCAGGCTTGAATTTTAAAGTTTGAACTGGGGGGCGATAGAATGAGGTAACCGAAAAGGCCCATCATTGAGAGGAGAGAGCTCGAACAAGGTGATTGAAAAAGCAGAAGATTTAAGTTCAAATTTTCAAATTCAAGACTTCGGGAGATCGTGCATACGATTTTCGACCTCAGCGGTCTCAACTCTCGGTTTTTGACCTCAACAGTCTCGACTCTCAGTTTTCGACCTCAACGGTCTCTCGACTCTCGTTTTTCGACCTAAGCGGTCTCAACTCTCGGCTTTTGACCTCAATGGCCCCGACTCTCGGTTTTTGACCTAAGCGGTCTCAACTCTCGGCTTTCGACCTCAACGGTCCCGACTCTCAACTTTCGACCTCAACGGTCTCGACTCTCGGCTTTCGATCTCAACAGTCTCGGTTTTTGGTTTTTAGTTTTTGACCTCAACGGTCTCGACTTTCGGTTTTCGACCTCAATGGTCTCGACTCTCGGTTTTCAACCTCAGTGGTCTTAGCTCTCAGTTTTCGACCTTAACGGTTTCTCGACTCTCGGTTTTCGACCTAAGCGGTCTCAACTCTCGGTTTTCGACCTCAGCAGTCTCGACTCTCAGTTTTTAACCTCGACGATCTCTCGTCTCTTGGTTTTTGACCTAAGCGGTCTCAACTCTCGGCTTTCGACATCAACGGTCCCGACTCTCGGTTTTCGACCTCAACGGTCTCTCAATTTTCGTTTTTCGACCTCAATAGTCTCGACTCTCGGTTTTCGACCTCAGCGGTCTCAGCTCTCAGTTTTCGACCTCAACGGACTCTTGACTCTCGGTTTTCGACCTAAGCGGTCTCAACTCTCGGTTTTCGACCTCAGCAGTCTCTGCTCTCGGTTTTCGACCGCAACAATTTCTCGACTCTCGGTTTTGACCTAAGCGGTCTCAACTCTCAGTTTTCGACCTAGTCTTAACTCTCAATTTTCGACCTTAGCAGTCTCGACTCTCAGTTTTACTCAACGGTCTCTCGACTCTCGGTTTTCGACCTCAGCAATCTCAGCTCTCAGTTTTCGACCTCAACAGTCTCTCGACTTTCATTTTTCAACCTCAACTGTCTCGACTCTCGGTTTTCGACCTCAACGGTCTCTCGATTCTCAGTTTTCGGCTTTCGACTTCATTGGGCATTCAGTTTTCGGTTTTCGACCTCAAGGTCATTCGATGTTCGACCTCTACAGCGGATCATTCAATTTTCGACCTCAATTGTCGTTTGACTTCTAATGCTCGATCTTAGTGGCAAGTTGAAGAAAATAGTTCGAAGAGGCATTTCACTCTTGGATCGAGTTATGCTTACTCGACCAGAGTGGGGGGACTAGATTATATAGGATATTATACTAGACCGGGTTTAATGGCTACAACGAATGCCTATTGGAGGATAAATCCACGTACGGACTAAGACATATAGCATCTTGATATGGGTCAAGCCCAACTTGGGCCCAAAAGGTACACTCCCCCTATAAAAGGGGGCTAAGGTATCTCTTTCTCTCATCCTATCTTCATTCATTCCATTACTACTCTCTCTATCATTCTTCCTCTCTCTTTATCTGGGCACTGACTTAAGCATCGGAGGCCCAACACCGGGGCCACCCCCGGCGTTGGGTTCTGCAGGTGTGGAGGCCATTCGAGTTGAAAGAGCACTTCAATATTCATTATTGATCCAGCAAGCGTGGACCAACTTTGATGGGGCGAGGCGATAAACACGTACGCGGATGCCATGGTGATGATCCAATGTCGACTTTCCCGGAGACGACCAATTCAGTGGGAGTCACTGCGAAAGGGGAGATCCAATACATGGATAGTAGGACACACTTAATAAGGACAAGATTGTGTTTTCTCCGTAACATTGGAGATTGATTAATGGACATGATGGTTGGATTATAATCCCTAGTTTATTATTGCTTATTAGTTATGCATGTTCTTATGTGTTGTTTATGTGCAAATCGGATTATTAGGACCATGTTTAGGAAAATCCCGTAAAATAAAAATTATATTAAGTGTGTGATGGGTTGAAATAAATTACATCCAAGGCCTCCATTATAGGTTTGTCTGTGAAGTGATTTAACTCTAGCCCAAGGGACGTTTAATTTCACAGTTCACATGGAAGAATCTCCTTCAAGATGGTTATAGTGAGCTATTTCAAAAGCGTACGGGTCACCCAGAGGTGGACGTATAATTTAGGTAGTAAACTTAGGACCAATTAATGGGTTACACTTAAAGTGCAAATAATTACGATATTCCCAAAAGAAAAGGTCGTTTTTATTCTTTTACAAGTTAATTGCGCTGGCCAAAAGATGAACCGACTATTAGTTAAGTACTGCTCGGCAGTATGTTAAGCTAATGGGATTTATCCCTCCTCTTGCGAATGTTTGAACCGTAGACGTCTACACTCCGTGGCCTGCGGGGATTCGGTGTTTTGAGGTGTTGGTGAATTTATTTGAATGTTGTTACATGGGATCAGTATTTGATATTTAAATTCAAAACTACTTGACTGAGTAAATACTATGTTTGCATGATCCCAGGAATTCAAAATGTCTTTCAATTCGTTGTCCGTAATTCTCAAAGAAAACAAACTTGTTGGTCCCAATTATATTGACTGGAAAAGGAACTTGGATATTGTGTTAACTGCTGAGGGGTACAAAATTAAGGCTTGTCCGGCTGTGCCTGCTGACAATGCACCAGACCAAGAGAAAAGGAGTATGCTCGGTGGAAAAAGGCTGACGAGATGGCGAAGTGTTACATATTGGCATCTTTGTAAAATATGCTTCAACATCAACATCAGTCTATGAACACTGCAGCAAATATGCATCTTGTTGGGTTCTATTAAGAATGTCGACATTGTGCACATTCAAATCTATTGAATAATAAATTCTAATGCAGCGGAATCTATAGTTAGGAGTAGGACTTACGGTTTAAAATGTTTGCCGACTCTGAGACGTTTCTGATTTCTGTTGATGGAGATCGTCTGAACACCAAAGTCCAATGGGCAGCTGGACTCGGCCTTTCTCGATTCTAATCTAGTCATAAAGGTGCTCTAATCGCTCATCAAGCTCATCAGATCGTCTTGGACCTTTGGTAAGTGAGTTGGACTCCTCGGGCCGCTCAGAAACCATCTCTGGCACGAACCGGGCTTACTGGGTCAGGCTGAACTAGGTCAAACCTGTCTAGACTGGGTTTGGTCGGGTCTGGACCGGACTGGGCTGGTTCAGGTCGGGTTTGGTCGCTGGGCACGGGGACTGGTCTGCTGGCCGCGGGTTACATGCACACTGGGCTGCTGTTGTACGCTGCTGGGCGCGGATGCACGCGTAAGGGCGCAGGCGCGCGCGAGATGGACGGGCACTGCGGGCGCGTGCACGGGTAGCACTCCTACTCCTGTGTGGACTGGGACGCGAGCGGACGTGCTAATGAGGGATCGTGATTCTTGCCTATGGTTTGTGGATAATCGCGCACTAAGGGCCTTCGACTAAACACGATAGGTTATGACTAAAGACGCTCTCAGGGCCTTCTTTTAGATACGGTTGATAAACACGCACTGACGACCTTGCTTAAACACACGAATGAACACAACGTTCTTTTCTATTAACCACTCGACATGTCTCAAACACAATGAGAGATGACAAGTATTTATAGATCCTAACTTAATCTAATCCTATTCAAACTAGTAAACTAATTAAAGTAATAAAATATTAAATCCTAAGGTAACTAGAAATTCTAAAGCAACAAGGAAAGTAAATGTCTACTAGAACCCTACTAAATCTTCAAAACTCCTTGCTTTGCTTGCACTCCAAGTCACCCAAACACTTGCCGCCTCAAGCATCCGCTCGCTACCCGCGAGGCCTAGTCTTCGGCGGATTCGGCGTCGCTTGTGCCCGTCTCGCATGCACGCACCTTGCCTTCGGCGACCTCCGCTCGCGCGTGGTATCGCGAGCCTGCCAGTCTTAGGCCTGTTAGGCCAAGGCCTTCACCGGCATCCGCGCCACTCGCATGCCCAGCGCGCCCTGCGCGACCGTTGCCTGTCTGCCGCGCGTCCCAGCCACCTGCGCGAGTATTAGCCATCTGCTTGCTCGCACGCATCACTGCCTGATGCGCGCTGCCCCTGTGATGCGTATGTGGCTAGGCGATCCGGCCACACGGCTGGCCGAGCACAGGAACGTTCAAGGATCACTCGCCAATCAACCGAAGAGATAGCCAAGGGAGAACCAGTGCACAATGGGCGACACGCACGAGATAGTCACACGGGCGAAGGGTGCGATCGCATGCACACTCGAAGGGCGAGGCAAGACCAGGGCAGCAAGCCTAGTCCTCATAGGAATAGGCAAGGCGCGAATACTAAACCCTGCAGGACTAGGAAAAGCAGCTAAATGCCGGAACGCGCGTGAAAGATTGGTGACGGAAGTAATCATCGAGAGATCAGGCAACATAACCGAGGGCATATTCCTAGTAGGAATAGGCATAATAGATATGGGCTCGAAGCTTGATCCTTCAAGGAATAGGAATGGCGCACGCAGGGCGCGAGCCTTAATCCTCGAGGTAAGAGGAATGGCGGGTAGGAACAGTCACGCACGCACGAGGAAAGGCGGCGACACCCTACTCCTCGAGGAGTACAGCAAAGCGGGCGTAGGATCCCTAGGCGGCGCAAGAGAGAGAGAGAGAGAGAGAGAGAGAAGGTTATGGAGTCTTCTACTTGGAGTGCAAGACAAGGTTCAAGATCCCTTAGTTATTTAGTTTTCTTATTGCATTATGATATCTAGATTGTTTAGGTTACTTAATATTTTATTGCTTTATTAGAATTCTAGGTAGATTAGGATTAGACATAATTTGTGCCTATAGAAAGGCCCTTGCTCTTGTTATTTTTCATGAGGAATTGAATCTTTGAATAGTCTTAGTAGGTAGAAAATCATGAACTTCTTTTCAAACACTTTGCTTTAGTTTTCACCAATATTCTATTGTAATTTTATTCATTTCAAGAAGCGCGGTTGCGGCTCGAGAAGCACCTATCGGCGATTCAAGGCGCTGGCAAGCGGCTTATCGGTAGTCGGGACACGCGATCTTCATCATTGGTGCTCTTGTTGAGAGGTGCTAGATCGTATGACTTTTTCTTCCCCATTCTTTTTCTTTCTCTCCTTTTTCTTTTTCGTCCCAATCAAAAAAAAATATTATATATATATATCATCATCATCTGCAAGACGAGTTCGCGAAGCAAAGAGCGAAGAGAAGAGAAGAAAGCCATGGCCAATCGAGAGATGAAGGAAAAAATCGAGAGCTTTGAAGGTAAATTCAAAACCATGAGCGAATCTGTCGATGCAAGGTTTGAAGCCCTAACTAAAGAGCTCGTCGACACCAAGACCACCATAGCTAATGACCGTACGGTCTTGATGGAGGCCATGAACCAAAGGTTCGACGAACTCTTTAGGAATTTCCAAGGCCAGCCACCGCGCCACGACGATCGACCACCACCGTTCGACGCTCGACCACCTACACATGGTGATGGACCACCCCCGCATGGTGCTCGACCACCGCCCCATGCACACGACCAAGCTAGGAGAGAGTTCGAGCAATTCGAGCGCGAGCAGGAGGAGGAGTACGAGAGGCAATCGCAGGCCTCGAATCATCAAGGTCGCCCACGTATCGAGAGTCCGAGGCTTGTGCTACCCATGTTCAACAGAGAGAACTCCGATGCATGGCTCAATCGAGCTGCACAATGTTTTGACATCAACGAGATGCCTTGGTATGAGAGGGTCAAATATGCTGCCTATTACCTAGACGGAGAAGCCAATGTTTGGTTCCAATGGCTCGTGAGTGTCTACCAAGGCAATCCGCTCCACATCCAATGGGAAGAATTCGAGCGCGAGCTACTTGCTCAATTTGGGTCATCTGATTACCACAGCTACGACGAGGCGCTCTCACACATCAAGCAGACGGGAAGTCTTCGGGACTACATGTAAGAGTTCGAACGACTCGCCTGTCGGGTGCGCAACTGGCTGATCTCTGCACTCATTGGGACTTTCATAGGTGGGCTCAAATTCGAGCTAGCTGCAGAAGTAAGGCTCGACTGACCACGGACCATGCACGAGGCCATGGAAGCTACGCGAAGGAGGGCGAACACTTAATGGCCACGAAGGATCGGGCGAGAGATTGTGCGCAACATGGAGCAACGGCGCGCGGACCAACACTTGGACGAGCGCACAATCATAGACAGCACACCATCGAACATGAGCAACGTCTATCCCAGCCCGCGACCACCGAACTACTTTCGAACGCCACCTCCCGGCGTTAAACAACTCACACTCGAGGAGATGAGGTGCTGACGTGAGAAGGGTCTCTGCTACAAATGCAAAGAAAGGTTCACCCCAGGCCATCGATGCAAATAACGTTTTTTGATTGACGTCATCGAAGAGGACGAGGAAGAGGCCTATGAGGACCAGCCGAAGCAGCAAGTAAATAAAGATTTGGAGATCTCGGTTAATGCAATGGCAGGCCTATAAGGGTCGAGAACAATCTGACTTGCCGCCATGATCGAGGAACGGCCAATCGAGGTACTAGTCGACACCGGCTCCTCGCATAACTTCATTTGCGACCGAGTACCTAAGGACTTAAAGCTCAAGGCAACGAAGGTGGAACCGTTTGATGTAAGGGTTGCCAATTGAGAGTGGCTAAGATGTCACAAATATTATCGGGAAGTGCCCATCAACCTGCAAGGCGAGATCATCAAAGCCGACCTCTATGCACTATCTATTGTGGGGCCCGAAATAGTTCTTGGAATTCAATGGCTCGAAGGACTTGGAGAAGTCACTATGAATTACAAAAGGCATAATAGGGTTCTACTCGGGAAGCTGACTCGTCATGCTAAAACCCAAACCGATGGGAAAAAGCCGAGATACCGTGATAAGGAGTTTAGATTTAGCCTTGATCCTTGAGGACAAGGATGTACTTAAAGGGGGTAGGGATAATGCGTATGTGGCTAGGCGACCCGGCCATACGGCTGGCCGAGCACATGAGCGTTCAAGGATCACTCGCCAATCAGCCGAAGAGATAGCCAAGGGAGAACGCGCGCGCACACTGGGCGACACGCACGAGATATTCACGCGGGCGAAGGGTGCGATCGCGTGCACACTCGAAGGGCGAGGCAAGACCAGGGCAGCAATCCTAGTCCTCATAGGAATAGGCAAGGCGCGAATACTAAACCATGCAGGACTAGAAAAAGCAGCTAAGTGCCAGAACGCGCGTGAAAGATCAGTGACGGAAGTAATCCTCGAGAGATCAGGCAACATAGCTGGGGGCATACTCCTAGTAGGAATAGACATAGTGGATATGGGCTCGAAGCATGATCCTTCAAGGATTAGAAATGGCGCACGCAGGGCGCAAGGCCTTAATCCTCGAGGCAAGAAGAATTGCGGGTAGGGACGGTCACGCACGCACAAAGGTAGGCGGCGACACCCTACTCCTCGAGGAGTGCTGCAAAGTAGGCGTAAGAGCCCTAGGCAGCGCAAGAGAGAGAGAGAGAGAGAGAGAGAGAGAGAGAGAGAGAGAGAGAGAGAGAGAGAGAGAGAGAGAGAGATAGGAGGTTATGGAGTCTTCTACTTGGAGTGCAAGACATGACTTATGCTTGGAGTGCAAGACAAGGTTCAAGATCCCTTAGTTATTTAGTTTCCTTATTGCATTATGATATCTAGATTGTTTAGGTTACTTAATATTTTATTGCTTTATTAGAGTTCTAGGTAGATTATGACTAGACATAATTTGTGCCTATATAAAGGCCCTTGCTCTTGTTATTTTTCATGAGGAATTGAATCTTTGAATAGTCTTAGTTAGTAGAAAATCTCGAACTTTAGTTCAAACACTTCGCTTTAGTTTTTCACCAAAATTCTATTGCAATTTTATTCATTTCAAGAGGCGTGGTTGTGGCTCGAGAAGCACCTATCAGCGATTCAAGGCGCGGGCAAGCGGCTTATCGGTAGTCAGGACACACGATCTTCATCACCCTGCTCGATCGCGCTCGTGATGCGTGTAACACCCCGCCTAAAACTTACTAAAATCAGATTAAATTTTTCGCGCTATAAAAGGAAAGCACTTATTTAATTTTCAAAAACTCATATTATTTTTTTCGAAAATACTTTAACTTTAAAAACGCGGGATGCAACTCAACTTTAATCTTATATCTTTATCTTTATCTCTTTAATCTAAAATGCATGCGAACAAGTAAATCATTCTAGAATTAAGGCCATGAATAATACCGGCTAAAACATGCATATTCTGAAAATCTGACATAATCTAACATCTGGAATAATAGTCTGAAATCTGACATCTGAAACACAAGTCTAACATGCGGAAGCAAGTACAAGTTCAGAAAGCACACAAGCATAATTCAAACATAGATAATTTAAAAATGTTCAAATACTATATGACATGTTTTCACAAAAATGTCCTGAAGCTGGACCAACACCACATAACTGCTCACGCTCCACGCTGGACTCCATCACCTGAAAAATAGGGTAGTGGGGAGGCGTGAGCACAAAGGAATCAACGGTGCTCCGCCGGAACCGGCACTGAATACTCAGCACAATTAATAATAAACTATGGAATCAACATATATATGAGAAAACTGGTCTGACTATGGGACTAACGGTAAACCGGTACTCATGTGCACACTCTGGGGGTCCCCTCCCACAGAAATCCAGGCTGGGCCTCGCCCACTCATCTGGACGCTGGACTTAGGCTGGGCCTCGCCCATTCATCTAAGTCATAACTGAAATCTGATATCTTGACCAAGACGGGATCACTCATCTGTCTCGGTCCTTCAATTTAATCACATATAGATCTCAGACATGGTAAATTATTAAAAGCGATAAAATACACAGTACATGGTCCCCACCTGAAAACTGGCAAAAAGCGAATGCTGGATATATCTGGAAAGGGTAGCTGATGGAGGCTCGACTCTCCTCAAGATACAAAATATATTGAGCGAAATATTCTAAGTACTAAGCTCAGAATAAAACTCAAATCTTTAATATCTTATATATCTAGGTTCGCTCACTCGACTTTAAAAATCATTTTAGGGATTTAAGAGCTGCTTTTGAAAATATTATCGTCGTTGAGGCATTCTAGAGTTCTCTGAAATATTTATATGTCTGGGACTAGAATCTGACTTAATCTAATCTGACTGAAATCTAAACTATATATGAATCTTAAATCTATCTGAAATTCTTAACTTTATCTGAAATCTTAATCTGACTGCATCTGAAATTTATCTGACCTTTTATCTGAAATATATATCGAACAGTCCGGCTGACCGGACCAGTTCGACTGAACTGAACCGACGGATCACTAGGAGTCGGTCGGTCATTCGCTTGCCTATCTGCAGCTCGGTTTGACCGTGGTCCGAGTTCGGCGTGGCGACTCGGGCTGGCACGAACTCGACTGACACGGCTTAGCCGATGCACGATTTGATCGGTGCCACGGTCACTGACGCAGGGGCGTGCTTGGACCACGGCTAACAGAACGACGCGTAGACGGCAGGTCGGATGGACTCGGTGCACGGGCACGCACTCGGGGTTGACTCGGACTCGGTGCACGGGCACGAGACGGCGATACGCATTACGAATTACGATACGACGGTTAAAAAATTATCCAGACGGTACTAGGGTTCATACATTTATAGTCGGATCCAGAAAAAATACCCGGTTATCGAAACCGGATAAAACTAGGGTTTTGATTTCTCAAAAATCCTAACTCATTTAAGGCCGATATTTAATATACATATTCTATGTGATTTATAATAAATCTATAATCCACAACCGCAGCTAAAGTCTCAATCGAACTAATATTTTATTATTACGGCATTAATATCTAAAGTCTCGATTTTTATAACTAAGTCAAACAACATCCAAACATTACGAAAATTGAAACATAACATCCTAAATATATATATAGTCTATGGTCAACATCTCAAGTCAAAAATCAACTCTTAACTCAGTCAACTAAAGATCGCTACGACCGGTCAACGCATTTGACCGGCTCGTTTACCTACCAAACCAAGTCCGAAAATTATGAAATTTAATCCTACGCCTCAAAATGACGTAACAAATTTTATAGTATTTATTTCAACATTTTATAGCATTAATTTAAAAAGTCGAACATTTTAGCTTTAAGCCCGAAAATCCCGATTTATTGAAAATCGCTCAAATCACCCAATTTATACTTTTATATCAATTCAAATATTATGTCTAAGCCATAAAAATCGAGATCTAGTGATTATACCTCACAATGCTCGAAAACGAGCGGATCGGGATAGCACAATAGTAGATCGGGCTAGAACAAGGAGAAAAAGAGGAAGATGCTACACGGTTGAGCTACACGGTTGCTGAAGATGCTGAAACTGGAATTAAGGAGCTGCTGGTTGCGATTTGGAGCTGTGGAGGAGCTGCTGGGGTGCTGTTGGCTCGCATGGTGGTAGCACTCGCGAGTGGAGCTTCTTTCCGGCGTGGACTCGCCGGAACCGGGTCGAACAAGGTCGTCGGTGGCTCGAGCTTGGAGTTGGTCGCCGGTACGGACAGAGGCTCGGCGCGACGGAGAGCTTGGTGGCTGCTCGCGACGGCGAGCTTGGTTGCTGCTCGCGACGGCGAGCTTTGGGTTGAAACGGAGGGTGGTCGCTGCGGATCTGCTGGTCGCGATTTGGTTGTGCGTGGAGGAGCTGGTCGCGGTGGTGAGCTGCTGCGAGGATGGCAAGAAGGATGAGCTCGGCTGAGAGCAGAGGGCTGCGGGACGGCGGCGCGTGGTGGCGATACGCGAGCTGGGAGCTGCGATTTCTCGCCGGAATCTCGCCGGGAAAACGAGCTGGAAACAAGATGAAATGGTCGGACGAGCTGCTGTGCGGATCTGGTCGGGTTCGCTGCTGTGAAATCGCCAGAAAAATGGAAGGATGGTCGGAGATGGAGGTCGCCGGAGGGTGAGCTGCGGGTTGACGGAAAACTCGCCGGATTTCGGGAGGAGGATGAAGCTCAATCCATGGAGTGTTGTTTTCTTTGATGTTCTTGAAGTAAAAGTGAAGGATAGAGCTTGGATCTTGAAAAAATAGCTTCAGTGCAAGGAGGAAGAAGATGAATAGTAATTATGGTGGCTAGGGTTTTCTTTTTGTAGGATGTTGGGAGTTGGGGGACAAGCTATTTATAGAAGGGTGGGGAGCTTAGGGTTTCTTGTGTTTGATGGGCTTTTAACGGGCTAGAGAGTCTGGCCTAAAATTACTACATAATCGGGCTAGAATATAAATCAAATATGAACTTAGGAAATTAAATGCTCGGGCTTGCTAAATAATATTAATCGAACTAGGACTAATTAAATTAGTCGGTCGAAATAATTACTAATAATGTGCCCGGAATTAAAATACTACGATGGCTCGATATTAAAATATCGTTTGGTCTTGGGAATTAATTCGACTATTCGAATTAAAATGGCCGACTGAAATTATTGGATTTGCTCAAAATTAATTAAGCTTGAATAATTGAATTATTTGGCTTTGGATCACTTAAGTAAAGATTCCAACTTTAATAATTAAAGTCGGAAGAATTATTCATGGCTTAGACTTTAATATTATTTATTTAATTTAATGCAAATAAATATAAATAATGCATCAAATTTAGAAACTTAATATTTATGGAAATATAGTCGAGCTCCATAAATAGTAAATAAAAATTTGGTCGTTACAATCTATCCTCCTTAAAATATTTTCGTCCTCGGAAATTCCAAAACTAATCATGAGTCCGACTCGACTATAAACTAGGAATCAAAAATACATAGTACTAATCAGAACTGGAAATCAGGATAACGAGCACGAATCTCCTCCT